TATGAGCTGAACATGTTCTCTAAAGAAAGTTGTGGTCAAGGAGTAAATTATCTGCATCTCTAGAACACCACGAGACAAAGGAGAAATCAGTAAGCAAATGGTGATGCACTATGTGATATATGCAGTCACCCAAATCATGTTTTCAAAAAGCGCTTAACATTCTTCAACAAATAGTTTGGGGACAACGAGATTTCCACATGCAAAGGAATGGAGTTGGACTCTTACCTCACGCCATATACAAGAATCAGCTGCAACTGGATCAAAGAGCTAAATATAACAGTTAAAACTATAAAACTCTTACAATAAAACTTAGCTGTACATCTCCATGACCTTAGATTTGACAATGATTTCTTAGATATGAGACCAAATGATAAGCAATAAAAGAAAAAATAGGTAAGTTGGGCTTCATAAAATTAAAAACTTTGGTGTACCAAAGGACACTGTTAAGAGAGTGAAAAGACAACCCATAGAATGAGAGAAAATATTTACAAATCATAAACCTGGTAAAGGTTTACTATCCAGAAGATGTAAAGAATTTCTGTAACTCAACAACAACAAAACCACCCAATTTAAAAAAAGGCAAAACACTTGAATAGACATTTTTCTAAAAAAGATATGCAAATGGCCAGCAAACACATGGAAAGACATTCAGCGCCATTAGTGGTTAGGAAAATACAAATAAAAGCCACAATGGGTTATCATTTCATCTCCACCAAGATAACCATATTCAAAAAAGTGGACATGCAAAGGATGTAAAGAAATTGGAAACCTTGCACACTGCTAGTGGGAATGTAAAATGGTAGAGTCACTGTAGAAAACAATTTGGCAGTTCTTCAATAAGTTGAACATAGAATTACCAGACGATTCAACAATTCTGCTCCTAGCTAATTATCTAAAAGAATAGAAAACAGGTGTTCAGACAAAAACTTAATAAATGTTCACAGCAACAGTATCCACAATAGTCAAAAGGTAAAAACAACCAAATGTCCATCAAATGATGAATGGATAAACAAAATATGGTACAATCATACAATAGAATATTATTCAGCCTTAAAAACAAATGAAGCACTGATACAGGCTATGACATAGACAACCCCTGAAAATATATGCTAAGTGAAAGGATCTAGTCACAAAAAGACCATGCACTGTATGATTCATTTATATGAAATGCCTCCCGTAGGCAAATCCATAGACACATAAATCAGTTTTGTGGTTGCTAAAGAAAAGGAGAAACATTGGGGAATGAAGGTTTAATGGGTGCAGAATTTTATTTAGGGGTGACGAAAATGTTTTGGAAGTAGATAGTGATGATATTTACATGACATTATGAATGCATTAGATGGCTTTGAATTGTACACTTTTAAATGGTGAATCTTATGTTGTACATTTAAAAAAATTATTTATTTATTTATGTATTTGTTTATTAAAAAAAAAATTGGCCAGCCTGGGCAACATAGCAAGACTTCATTTCTACTAAAAAATTCTTAAATTAGCTAGATGTGGTGGTGTGTACCTGTAATTCCAGTGGCTGGGGAGGCTGAAGAAGAAGGATCACTTGAGCCCAGGAGTCTGGGGTTGCAATGAGCTATAATTGTGCCACTGCACTCCAGCCGTGGTGACAGAGTGAGAGCCTGTCTGACATCAAAAAGAAGAAAAGAAAAGAAAGAAACACATGAGTCTCAGTAATGCTGCCCAGGCTGGCCTTGAACTCTGGGGCTCAGGTGATTGTCTCATCTCAGCCTCCTGAATAGCTGAGACCACAGGCATGAACCACTGCACCTGGCTATTATACATATTTTGCCACAAAATAAATGGTTAATGTCAGAAACATCTATGTGTTTTTAATGTAAAAAAAGTGAAAATTTAAAAGTGAATGATTCCAATTTTGTTTTTTAAATGTAAAGAGAGGAATATGACAGGAAGTTGAGAATGATGATAGTTGGGCCTGGTCTCGAAGAACTCCCTGAACTGAAGAACAATCAGCCCCATAAAGTTTCCACTGCACTTGGGTCCTTGTGTGGGCGCAATTTGTTGTTCCATTTGTTCTTAGCATGGAATAAGATGATAATAATTAAGAATGCAGAGGCTAGAGAAACTTCTTTATTATACCAAAATTTTCTAAAAGGCAACCTATGTTTGTATTAAAATTAACACACAAAGTGCTGGTGTGCAAAGTTACAGTGCTTAAGAGTAAGCGTGAGTTAAAATGTTGTTCCTCTCAAAAATGTAAATAGACATTTCTCCAAAGAAATTATATAAATGGTCAATAAAGCACACAAAAAGATACTCAATATCACTACTCCTCAGGGAAGTGCAAACTGAAACCACAGTAGAATACCACTTTACTTCTATCAGGATGGCTATCGTTTAAAAAACAGAAAATAAGTGTTGACAAGAATGTGGAGAAATTGGGGCCCTTGTGCGCTGCTGGTGGGAATGTAAAACTATTGTGCAGTGACTATGGAAAACATGTGGTAGTTCCTCAAAAAATAAAAGATTGAATTACCATATAATCCAGAAATTCCATTTCTTTTTTTTTTATTTTTTATTTTACTTTAAGTTCTGGGATACATGTGTACAATGTGCAGGTTCGTTACATAGGTATACACGTGCCCTGGTGGTTTGCTGTACCCATCAACCCATCTTCTAGTTTTTAAGCCCCACATGCATTAGGTATTTGTCCTAATGCTATTCCTCCCCTTGCTCCCCATCACCCAACAGGCCCTGGTGTGTGATGTTCCTCTCCTTGTGTCCCTGTGTTCTTATTGCTCAACTCCCACTTATGAGTGAGAGCATGAGGTGTTTGGTTTTCTGTTCCTGTGTTTGTTTGCTGAGAATGATGTTTCCAGCTTCATCCATGTCCCTGCAAAGGACATGAATTCATCTTTTTTTATGGCTGCATTATATTCTATGGTGTATATGTGTACCACATTTTCTTTATCCAGTCTATCATTCATGGGCATTTGGGTTGGTTCTAAGTCTTCGCTATTGTAAATAGTGCTGCAATAAAAATACATGTGTTATGTGTCTTTGTAGTAGAATGATTTATAATTCTTTGTGTGTATTTGATGCCCAGTAATGGGATTGCAGGTCAAATGGTATTTCTGGTTCTAGATCCTTGAGAAATCACCACACAGATTTCCACAGAGGTTGAACTAATTTACACTCCCACCAATGGTGTAAAAGCATTCCTATTTCTCCACATCCTTGCCAGCATCTCTTGCTTTTTAATGATTGCCATTCTAACTTGTGTGAAATGGTATTTCACTGTGGTTTTGATTTGCATTTCTCTAATCATCAGTGATGATGAGCTTTTTGTTGTATGTTTGTTGGCCACATAAATGTCCTCTTTTGAGAAGTGTCTGTTCATATCCTTTACCCACTTTGAGTGGGTTTTTTTTTTTTTCTTGTAAATTTGTTTAAGTTCCTTGTAGATTCTGAATATTAGACCTTTGTCAGGTGTCTAGATTGCAAATATTTTCTCCCATTCTTTAGGCTGCCTGTTCACTCTGATTATAGTTTCTTTTGCTGGAGCCGAAGCTTTTTAGTTTAATTAGGTTCCATTTGTCAATATTGGCTTTTATTGCAATTGCTTTGGTGTTTTAGTCCTGAAGTCCTTGCCCATGCCTATGTCCTGAATGGTAATGCCTAGGTTTTCTTCTAGGATTTTTATGTTTTAGGTATTATGTTTAAGTCTTTAATCCATCTTGAGTTAATTTCTGTATAAGGTGTAAGGAAGGAGTCCTGTTTCTATTTTCTGCATATGGCTAGCCAGTTTTCCAAACACCATTTATTACAAAAAGAATCTTTTCCTCTGTTGCTTGTTTTTGGCAGGTTTGTTGAAGATCAGATGGTTCTAGTTGTGTGGTATTCTGTTCCATTGGTCTATATATCTGTCTTGGTACCAGTATCATACTGTTTTGGTTATGGTAGCCTTATAGTATAGTTTAAAGTCAGGTAGCCTGATGCCTTCAGTTTTGTTCTTTTTGCTTAGGACTATCTTAGCTATATGGGCTTTTTGGTTCCATATGAAATTTAAAGTAGTTTTTTTCTAATTCTGCAAGGAAAGTCAATGGTAGCTTGATATGAATAGCATTGAATCTATAAATTACTTTAGGCAGTATGGCCATTTTCATGATATAGATTCTTCCTATCCATGATCATGGAATGTTTTTCCATTTGTTTGTGTCCTCTCTTATTTCCTTGAGCAGTGATTTGTAGTTCTCCTTGAAGAGGTCCTTCATGTCCCTTGTCAGTTGTATTCTTAGGTATTTTATTCTCTTTGTATACCAATGTTCACACAAGCAGTGTTCACAATAGGCAAAAGATGAAAAGAACCCAAATGTCTATCAACTGATCAAAAGATAAACAAAATGTGGACACTATCAAGAAAGTGAAAAACAACCTACAAAATGGGAGATGATATTTATACTTCTTTTTAAATGTTTATAATGAATTTTTAAAATGTAATCTGTATTGGTTTAACTACAAAATTAATATTTGCTCATTAAAATTTTAGAAGTTTATAACCCACCAAAAGGGAATCCAATAGCAACTTCCTACCAGAAAGCCACTCTTAACAATTTGGGACAATATTCAGAGAAATAACATTTTTACAAAAAATTTAAACCTTAAACACTGCTTTACAACTTGTTTTTTTCCCCTTAATGTATATCAAGGCCACATTTGTGTCAGTAAACAAATCTAATTTTTAAATTGATATTTAGTATTATACTTTATGAATTTCAAATCACTTACTGCTCTCTATGAATGCACACTGGGGTTGTTTCCAATGAACTCGCCCCCAAGAAAAATGCATGTACACATGTACACAAGTACAGTGCTGATTCAGGATGAGAGTGGCGATATCTCGAATGAGATTCCAGTCTCTCAGGATGTCATCCCTAGTGGTAAACTGGGAGGTCACAGTGAAACGGATGATTAACTTGTCCTGGATAGTGGCCGGGATGAGGAAGAGACGGACTCTCAACTTTTTTAGGAACTGCATAAAAAAGTTTCTCCAAATGAGCTCATCCTGGGCTGATACGCTACAGGCCATGACATCACAGAGCACTCTGTGCTGATCCATGAGTACTACAGCCGGGAGGCCCCCAACCCCATCCACCTCACTGTGGACACAAGTCTCCAGAACGGCCGCATGAGCATCAAAGCCTGTGTCAGCACTTTAATGGATGTCCCCTGGAGGACCATGAGAGTGATGCTCACAACTCTGAAAGTGAAATATGCATACTATGACACTGAACGAATTGGAGTTGACCTGATTATGAAGACCTGCTTTAGCCCCAAACGAGTGATTGGACTCTCAAGTGACTTGCAGCAAGTAGGAGGGGCATCAGCTCGCATCCGGGATGCCCTGAGCACGATGTTGCTGCACGCAGAGGATGTACTGTCTGGAAAGGTGTCAGCTGACAATACTGTGGGCCGATTCCTGATGAGCCTGGTTAACCAAGTACCCAAAATAGTTCCTGATGACTTTGAGACCATGCTCAACAGCAACATCAATGACCTGCTGATGGTGACCTACCTGGCCAACTTCACGCAGTCACAGATTGCCCTCAATGAGAAACTTGTAAACCTGTGAACGGGCCCCAGGCAGTATACCTGCTGGTCTGGGTCTCAACCCCAGGACCCAGAAGTGAAGGAGAAATGGGTTTTTTGTGGTCTTGAGTCACACTGAGGCAGTCAACTGCCTGTGACTCTAATAAACATAGCCTACCTTTTGTAAAAAAAAAAATATATATATATATATATATATATATATAGGCATCCTTCATACGTAATTTTGATTAAAGTTACACATGAATAAAAGAGCAAAACTTGTAGATGTCTTTTCAAGTACTTCCGTGGATATCTGCTGTTTTGACCTGCACAATTAATCCTTTCATCTTCTTCTAACACATCCGATTTTCCTTCAGAGAATTGCCTCCCCTATTCCATGCAGTTCTTAATGGGGCTGCAAATCAGAGTATCCTGCTACTCTGGCCATAGCAATTAGTGCAATGCGAGAGCCTGTGACCCAACTGGAGTAATCAAATCCCTTCTCTGGGATTTAACATACACATCCAAGGAAAGAAAAGCTCTTTCTTTACTTGGAGATGGTTCCTGGAAACATAGGAGCCCAGAGCTCTGTAGCAGACTATCACTTCCTTAATGCCTATTGGGATCCTGATCATAAAAAAATAAAATAAAATAGGTAAGAATGAGACTACTGCACAGAGAAAAATTGATATGACAAAGAATGAGTCAATGACATTCACGTTACTGAATCCAGTCCTATCTGAAGCAGTGTCCACCCCTAGGCTTTCCGGTTACTATATATAACAAATTCTCTTTTCTGGAGTTGGGTTCCATCTTTTACATAGTAGTCCCCTCTTATCTGTGTGGTTTTCCTTTCTGCGGTTCCAGTTACCCATGTTCAGTAGCGGTCTGAAAACAGGTGAGTACACTGCAGTAAGATATTTTGAAAGAGAGAGAAAGCACATTCACATAACTTTTATTGTAGTATTTTGTTTTAATTGTTCGATTTTATTACTAGTTATTGTTGTTAACCTCTTACTGTGCCTAATTTATAAATTAAACTTTATCATAGACATATATGTATAGGAAAAAAACAATATATATATTAAATTTGATACTACCTTTGGTTACAGGCGTCCGTTGGGAGTCTTGAAATGTATTCCCTGTGAACAAGCGGGGACCACCCCAATGGAAAGCCTCACTAGTCATTACATTATGCAGCATCTTTTTACATCTGATGTCAGACTAGAGGTCTTGATGTGGCAGATTTCTAGCTGGCACTATAAGAGAAAGGCCCCAGGTACTCACATACATGCAGTCAGCACAACCCACACAATCCCTAAGTACCCAGTGGCTATTTGTCTGTACTGGCTCCCTGGTTTCCTAGCAACCAAGCTCCTTTCTTCCTCACACACTCACACCTTTTGTGACATCACCTTCTCAAGGCTGCCCTTAATGTGTATGTTTGGGAAGTAGAAAAGGAAAAGGCAAGAAAATACTCACAATATAATTTGCTCCAGGACTGGAGACTTGAAACAATATGCTAGAGGTGGCCTAGCTTACAGATCCAGAAAATTCAGTGGCAGACTGAAAATAGCAAGAAGATGGGGACAGTAGCTTGGGCCTGTAATCCCAGCTACTCAGGAGGCCAAGGTGGGAGGATTGCTTGAGGTCAAAAGTTTAAGACCAGCCAAGAAGCACAGCAAGATCCTGCCTCTAAAATAAAAAAAAAAAAAAGCTGGTCATGGTGGTATGTACCTGTAGTCCCAGCTACTTAGGAGGTTGAGGTTGGAGGATTGCTTGAGCCTAGGAGTTCCAGGGTGCAGTAAGCCATGATTGCACAATTGCACTCCAGCCTGGGTGACAGACAGAGACCCTGTTTCTAAATAAATAATCAGTTAAATAAAGTAAGAGATTTTGCTTTGGTGTTAAAATTCTTGCTTGCTTATTATACCTAATTACTTTTGTAAAAATAGTAGTACCTGTATTACTCAGTTTGGGCTGCCATAACTAAATACTATAGGTTTTTGGCTTAAGCCACAGAAATTTATTTATGCACACTTCCGGAGGATAGAAGCGCAAGGTCAAGGTTCTGGTCAATTTGGCTTCTGGTGAGGTCTTTCTTCCTGGCTTGCAGATGACCACCTTCTCACTATGCCCTCACATCACCTTTCTCCCATGTGTGCAGGGAACAGAGGGTGCACCAGCCAAGGATCTTTCCTCCCCTTCTTACAAGGTCACAATCGCACCATGAGGGCCCCACCCTCATGACTTCATGTAACCCTAATTATCTCCTAAAGTCCCATCTCTAAATATCACATTGGGAATTAGGGCTTTAGCATATAAATTTGGGGTGGGGGTACACAAACATTCAGGTAACAACAATACCTGAATATTAATAAAAGATTTTTCTTATTTGTAATTCACATGATACTCACAACAGTGACGTGATAGGACAGGTTACATTAATAAAATTTTACATAATCAAAAAGTTAAGGGACACAGTCAGAAGACCAGAACTGCATTCCTCCCATTTGTGGACTAATTCATATTGTCTTCTGATCCCAAAGGTTTTTGATAATTTTCTCAGTCACGAGCCATGTCGTATTAGGCACAGCAATTCTAGAACTACGGTTTATTTGCTACTTTTTTTTTTTTTTTGGCAGCACACAAGGCCCTTTCCCTTGGTATTAGTTTTAATACTGCATTATATAGGTATCAGTTAATAAACAGCTGTTGTCATGAGCATAGCTACATAGGGTGCAAGACTTTACAAGAGGAGAGCAGTAGAATGAAGTGTTAAAACTAATTTTATTTTCATTTAGTGTTTTTGGATGCACTGGCAGCTCTGTCCTTCCAGAGGCTGTCCAGAGTCTGCATGGCCCTTGACCCCAGGTTTTTTCTCTCACCGACCACATCAATCCATCTCCAGGAGTCTACTTCCTAATAGAACGGGAACTCGCTGCATGCCATCTTCTCTATCTTCTCTATCACCAACATCTGTGACAAAATCTCAGTTGGTTTTTCTGTTTCTTCTCCTCTAGGGTTGCCAAATAAAATGCTGGACACTCAGTTAAACTTGAATTTAAGACAAACTAATGGACAGGTTTTATATATCTATATATAGATATATAGATATACACACACACACACACACACACACACACACACACATATATATATATATATATATATATATATATATATATATATATATATATATAAACTGGGCACCCAGTGTGTGTGTGTGTGTGTGTGTGTGTGTAAATATAGATAAACAATGGACAGGTTTTATATATATATATATTTATAAATTTATATAAATATATGTATTTATATAATAATATATATTATATATATATAAATATATATATAAATATTTAAAGATAAATATCGGAATCAAACTACAGGTCTTAGTTATAAGTCATTGTTCTCATAGTCTTATTATTAGTAATGAAGCTGATATTTTTACCTCCATCTCTTTGACTCCTATGTCTGTCTCAGCTGTTTCTAAGTTAAGATAAGGGGAAGAGGAACATGTTAATTATTAACTTCCTAAACTCTCAGTAGCATTCACTACAATTTGTATTTATATGTTCATTTATGTTTGTTTAGTGGTTTATTTAATGTGTGGGGACCATGCTTGTTTTACTCACTGTTGCATTCCCAAATGTCTATTACAGTAGAAGGTGTAGGTTTTATCTTTTTATATCAGGATGGTTGAATAAATAAATAAATGGTAGCTTGTTGCCTACCACAGTCCTGCCACCCACACCACTCTGAGCATACATACAGCCTAGGACCGGGATGGGAGCTGAGTCCTGACTGTGATCACCTGGCAATAGCTGTTTGGTGCTCTGCGCTGAGAAGCACGCTGAGGCTGTGTCCAGCCTCATCATAAAATTGCACCATGATCAATTCTTCATGTCTGCTACACATGCCAGAGTGGGCAATGCGGGACAGCGTGCATAGATTTGCCCTTCTTGGCTTAGAAACATCTGGGGCCATATTGTTTCCCATCAGATGTACTCACTTGGAGCAATGTCAGTCTAGATGGGATTTCAGCTGCTGTTCTCTTCTGGACACTGATTTGGATATCTGGTGACTTCCTGCTGAGCCCATCCTACAGCTGAGTGAGTCTTGCAAATGCAGTCCCCGTTCACTTCCTCCTAGCTTCCTCCCCTTTCTTACTGGGTCCAATGGAGGCCCAGCAGGCAGCATTCACATAAATTATGAGAAATTATGTCACAGCCCATAAACTTCACCATGGTGAAAGGAAACAGGGTATACACTGGCTTCAGTTGAGGCAAATTGAAAGGAAGACCTCTCATGAGACAGTCAATTCAGCTGTAATTCAGACTCTCTTCTAACACTAGGAGTTCTGCCTAAGGGAAGTGTCCTTGGAGTGACCCCAGTCCTGAAGCTGTGGATCTTCTGGCTCATATGGTCTTGCTTTAGTTTTTGAGATTATTTTTGTGTGTTTGTCTTTAGGGGAGTATGATCTTTTCCAGTTGGTGTTCTAAGTACTCCTCTTTGTATATAGCTGCCGTTCTCCATGGTCACTCTATCCTCCATCTCCTCAGTCAGCCTCATCTCTTCTCTCACACAGCTTACTCCCACACCATGGTTAGGTTTTAATCATCAACCTCACCTCATGTCTCCTCTTTCTGTCTTTCTCTTTGATTTCCCTTCCCAAACTCTATGGTCCTTTGCATTTCTGATCCTGGTTATTGCCTGTCCCAGCCAAAGATTCTTTAGCCCATTCTCAACCCTGGCTGCACATTAGAAATCACTTTGAAAATCTAATGCTCAGGTGGCACCCAGAACAATTAAATCAGAATCTCTGAGGATGCAACCTGAGCATCAGTACTTTTTAAATCTCCTTAGGTGATGACAAGGTGCAGGCAAAGATGAAAACAACAGCTCCAGCCCAGCATGGATATTTACAAAGCACCATTCAAGATTTTTTGAACTATATATATTAAAAGCACCCTTCACCTACTGACCTTCGTTAGTCATTGAGGAGATTTTAGAATTGAATGAATGGGGGACCTCAGAGGCATCTAGCACTTGATAGAACAGGAGACCTGCAAGAGGCTCACAGCAATTGAAAAAAAAAAAAAAAGATTCTGTCATCTAACAAGTTTGTATAGTACTTCATTCTATATACACTTTCAGAGATTTACAAAGCAAATTAACTTCAAGGTTC